TCAATTGCTTGTTAATGAGGGAAGTGACATGTGGGGAGCAGATGCCACCCAACTGCAGATGGACTCTGGTCAGCCCAGCTAAGGCCCTTTTCTCTGTCTCCTAACTTCTCCCCCTCCCCAATTTTTTTCTTTTCTTTTCGTTTCTTTCTTTCTTTCTTTTTTTTTTTTAAGGAAGAGAATAGAGAAAGGTGTCCAGCATAGAAAACACTCAAAAGACACAAAACATTGACCCCAGCAGGCCAAGAACTGTTGAAAAATAATCAGAGGAGACAATCCCGGAGCCTCGTGGGCAGTCATGTCCCTGAGGCCACATTTAGAACAGCGCATCTTTATGCCAGAAATTTGAGCCTGAGATTACTATGTTGTGATCTTATGATCAAACCTAACAAGACAATGACATGGCCAAGTGGGGCTGCTTTTAATATCTCAGAGGCAGCTGCGGGGATCCAATTATTTTCAGTTTGGATACATTTCCCCTTTATCAATATCTCCGTGTGCATAAATAAGATGAAAGTGATCCTGCAGACTCAAAGAGAAGTGGCACCCCTCTAGCCGGCAGACTGGAGGGGTCTGGGAGTGTGTGGTCAGTCTCTCCCACGCAGTGTCTGATGTGAGCCCTGATCTTCCTGGCGCTGGCCAGAGACAAGAAGGGACTTTAGGCAGGAGGATGAAGTTACACCTAACGAAAGAGGGTGCCCCAAACAGGAAGAGGATGCGTATGAAACCCGCCAATGTCCCTTCCGAGTGGCATCAAAGTGGAAATAGGCGATTTTGCCTGTGCTCGGAGTTTCTCTCATGAGCTGTTCCTGGAACTGAAAACAGTTTGGCATTCCACCTCCCTTTCATTCCCCAGCCCGAGCCAGCAGGTGCCAAGCACTGCATAAATAGGCTCCCTGCACTAAAATGTAAATAGCATGGTCCCTGCTGACCCTCCCAGGCCAGATGCCATCAGGGAGACAAAGATAGGAAGCTAGCCAAGTGGGGACAGCTACACCACCAAGCCTCCTGGCTTCCGCCCAGAGGGCGATGTGCCTTGTTCCAGTAGGAAGTCACCTGCACCTAAGCTGACACAACCAGGGTCCACAATGAAGGGGGACAGGTCAGTATGGTGCAGACTAGCTCTGGAAACGGACGACAGGAGTCACAGGGGTTTGCTGCGCCAGCTTAGCTGTACTGCAGATTCCCGAGCCTCACTTCATTCATGGGAGGAGCCAGGTGGTACGGATGCTCCGCAAACACCCGACACCTGGATGCAGGTGACCATGCTGTGTGTTGTGCATGGCATAAGCAGTCACCTGGCTCATAATGTCTTTACACTAAAGGCTATTTTCCTTTCAAAGGGGTCACCAATGATCTTGGCACTCCCTCCAGTGACAGTTAATTAGGTTCTTCACATTGGAACCCAGAGCCCTGAGCACCTGGTGGCTCCAGACTCAGCTGTTCCAAACGTCTACTACACAGCATCTCTCTCTCTCTCCCTCCCTCTCTCTCTCTCTCTCTCTCTCTCTCTCTCTCTCTCTCTCTCTCTCTCTCTCACACACACACACACACACACACAAAACGCTCTGAGGATCTAAAGCACCCCAATTCCAGATAACTGTCCCCCGTCACTGCCTCTACGAACACCTCAGCATCCCCATTTACAATCAATATTTTAAATGTGTCCTTAAACGGTATCAATAGCAATGGGGGGGGGTTCTGAGTCCAGCCCAGATGTAGTTAATTGTTGCCACATTGATCTCCCCTCTAACACGATTCTTTCTCCAAATCAAACCCCCATTACAGAGGGGTGGAGGGCATCTTCTCCCCTCCTGAGACAATAAATTTAATATTGAATGTACTGAGAAAAAAATGGCAGCTGTTGCAGAATCCATCCAAAAAGATTTTTTCCCCCCGCTTCCTGGGAGTAATTAAAAGATGCTTTCCCTGACTAATGATCCCCCTGTTTAGGAACGGGAAGTCAATACGGCTTCAGCTGTCGTCAGCTCCGATTGATCACAATGCTGTTCAAGTTTGAACGGCAGTTCTCAGGGCGGCTGAGGATCGCTGGAACCAATTACAGGCCATCCAGAGCTGCCCTAATAGGGATGTGGGGACAACAGGCAGAAGGCCAGCCAGCTGTGCAAGGCGCCTGTTCTCCCAACCTGCCTGTAGTCCTGGATGATGCTAATGCACAGTTGTTTCAGGGGACTGGCTGTTTCTCTGCAGAAAGATATGCTGTGTGTGTGTGTGTGTGTGTGTGTGTGTGTGTGTGTGTGTGTGCATGTAAGCATGTCTATGCACATGTGCTGAGGTCTGTTCGTGTGTGTGTTTGAATGTGTCTATGTGTACAAGTGTGTGTTTATGTGTACATATGTGTTGAGTGTATATATGCATGTGTATATGTGTTTGTGTGTTGGGGTATGTGTGCATGTGTGTTGAGTGTGTGTGTACCTGTCTGTATACGAGCAGAACATTTTAAATTAAATTCTGTAGTCAGAATGATCTCCCAAATCATACCGAACCAGACCCAAGTTCCCTTGGAAAACATTTGGGCTCTTGTTTCAAAGAGTTAACATTTGGTTTTTCCTTGAACTAACACAGACATTTATGAAACTATTTCATTTTGGATTTGTTTCAGGCCCCTCAATGCTTCTACTAACTGGGCTTTAATTCCTCATGGAGAAGGCAGGAAACCTGGGATGTGAGTGGTGGTGGGGATAGGGCAGTACCTGGGCTAGGTATCAACTCTCTTGGAGTGAATTCCAGACTGCTTCTAGCCCAGACTTCCAGGCTTGTGTCTCTATTTGGGGAAAGGGTGGGAGGTGGTGAAGGTAGAAGGTGGTGGGATCTCCACTGCACTATGTATGGACTGTGGCACTTCTCATCTATGATGGTATCTCTAAGGCTGGTAACCTTCTAGGTGGCCTTTGGCTAGGTCTGTCTTGGCCCTTTCCAATTACTCTGCTGTGCTTGCTGACTTCAGTATTCCCAGGAATGGATGGAACGTAACCAAACACAATCACAGACTATTCATGCTACCCAAATCCCTCTGGTATCAGCCACTCCAGCTCAAGAGCTTCCCAGAGCAAACCCACCCCTGCAGGAGACACACTACTGGACACGAGTGCTGCAGGCACAACCCACCTGCCTTTGCTTAGGCTACCCTATCCTCGCACACCTCTCTCCTGGAAGTCAGCCATGGCTGTGAACTTCCTGGATCTGGGGTCCTCAGCTGGTCCCAAGAGGGTCCACCTGTCACGACACCCATCCTTTACTCACCCCACCTTCTTATGAGTGTTTGGTGACTATTTATTGAATTTAACCAGACAAAAAACTTCCTGGGATAATTTTACCAAAGATAAATAAGCCCCCATCTCTCATGCCTGTCTGAAAACCCAGAAATTCCAAAGTCACCTGGGGAGATGCCACATCAGGCCACATCACTATAGTCTTTGGGAGGAGTCCTGGCTCGGAAGGGCTCTTGAGAATATCCACGATGACCAAAGGGGAGATCCTACTTGTGAGAGGGGCTCCTCCCTCCTGTCTCTAAGCTGTAAAGGGAGACAGGTGTAGTGCTGGGCAGAGCAGAAAGCTACCGCCTCAGAGCTCAGGGCAAAGAGCAGTCACTCACTGCTGTCTGTGTTACTTTTAAACCTAAATGGTCAGATGCACAGAGTAAATTTTTCTAACTCATTTCAATGCTTTTCTTCCTACATCAAACAATTTAACTAACAATCACCTTTTCATTTTCAGACTGAGATTCAACCACACTATTAAAAACAACAACAACAAAAAAATACTGTTTTAGGATTGAGTGAAGAGCCCAGCTGACTTCCATGTTGAGTGGTAAGTCAGGAAAGATAATAGCTTCTCAAAGGCTATGGTATTTTCGATTTGTGAGAAAACCACCCATAACTGCATTACACAGACTCACTCAACGAGAGCTGTCACAGTTTTAAGAAGCACTTTAAGCACCTTGCTGGCCCTCCCTTCCTGATCCCCTCCCACCATGACTAACAGACAGGATTAACGTCTGCCGGTCTCACCGCCGATGTGCACCAGAGGGGGCGCCACACATTCATTCTGCAGTTAGTGAAATAAACCCAGCCAGCAGATCTCAGGAGACCACTGGCTAGGATCCTGGATGTGCAGCCTAACCACTGGTTTATAGTCACCCAGGCTCTGACTGTATCATCACCAGCAAAACAAACAAACTTCAGATGCTGAGTACGGCAACTGTCCCTTCCTGTTGTCCTGAGAAACGAAGCTGAAGCGGCTTCAAGCCCCTGTGTCAGGGGGAGGGGTAGTGGGCACACAGACAGAGCACCAGCACCTGAGTATCTTGGATGTTTCTGGTTAGACCAACCAGATGAGCTGACCCCTCTCCTACTATGCAATGTGACTTCTTTGAAAATGGGTCACTTTAGCCACCTCTTGGGGGAATTAAATATGTATGCACATCCTCAAAAATGGTTTATAATCGCTGTAAATGAAAAATGGGAAACTAACTGGCCTCAAAATAAATGCGTTTTTATCCTGGGTAACAATTAGCATTAATGAGGAGTCTCCATGCATTATGCTTAACTGTACTTAGTTAAATGTTAGCAAATAAAGTACATTTTCTTAAACATAAACTCACTTGTTGGTAGGGGCAGGTGAGGGGGTTGGTTACCCAAAAGATGCTTACCAAGGGTGTACAAAAGAATACAAAACCAAAGAATCAAAAATTTATAATTAGTGTTAGCACAGCTTGTGCCTATTAGAAATATATTAATTAAAGTAATATATTCATAAGATTAGAAGCCTAATACATTTCCAAGAGAGGAGAGGAATCCCCAAGGCCCAAAAATAAACATAAAAAATTAAGGAGTTTGAATCATCCAGTCTGCTCCAGACCAATTTCAGATACGATGCTTGCAGACTAGGCTAATCGACATTCCTATAGGTTGCCAGGGCCACCTGCCTCTGAGATCATGCCCAGCTGTGTAGCTGCTGGTGGAGCACCTGTGCATTCCTACCTTGTGGAGTCCAATGAGGGTTTTGTCCGTCCCTGGCTACTTTCTTCCCATACGCTGTTGGCCAACTCATTCCCGATGGATGACATCACCTTGATCAGCTCCATGGGCCAGTCATCAAGATCTAGAGACCGGACCCGAGAGAGATGGGTGCCAAGATTCCGGTGAATCCCTGAGCACTCGATGCACATGAGGGCTCCCAAGTTCAAACTGGCCCAGTTAGGGTCTATAGGAAGAGAAACAGGAGCAAATTTCAATCAGACCACCACCACTCATACTCAATGTTCCTGGACTCCTAGGGACATCTGGCCAGGCAGTCAGTTCCCACAGTCACATGACTTAGGACTACTGATGATTAATAAGGACCAGGATAAACAAATAGGCCAAACAGATGTTTATTTAGGGAGAAGTAACTTCATAGACAGATGAACACCAGCAGTTTCCTGGTCCCAAGGACGACTCCGGATGTACTCCTGTCCCCAGGCTGCAAGCAAGAGAGCTCCCTGAGCCCTCTCCTCAGACTTAGTTCCCCCAGGTAACATCCGGCCCTCTCTCCACCCCTAATGGGCGTGTTCTATGCCACAGGTGTGGACAAGGTATCTCACTACTGTTTTTGGTGTCAGGGAAAACATGGCAGCTGTTGGAAATCCCGAATTTTCTTCTAAAATTTCAGCTGCATGGTTCAGAACTGGTGCACATCAGAAAAAAGCCAGGTGTACTGAGATGTTCACTGTGGACCACTGATGATGGAGTGAGAAGCAGAGACAAGGCAACTGGGTACCTCCAAGGCCCAGGTCACGCCTGGAGGCTACATTGGCCCTCATAATCCCTTCTGCTACTGTTAGAGCAGCTTGGTTGGGTTAGCAAATTTTAAAGATGGAAGAGGCACTCTCCTGTGAGAAGGTATGGTCTTACTTAAGGGTACCCATCACAGCAACTCGCTGGGTTCTAATGGTACTGGCAGGTAATACAGTTATATCAGGACCTAGACTCCTCAACTGACAGATGGGTATGTTTTGAGCTGTGCTAACAGGACAGGATACAGTTCTGTAGGATGATGGGCTTGTGTAGAGAATGGCTGTGGGGGCCCTAGGAGATCTGCTATTGTGTGATGGTTATGATCAGAAGATCCAGAACTTGGTCCCAAGGCTGGCTTTAAGCTTACAATCATTAGGTGTTTTGCAAAGACAGGCCGACCTTGGTGAGCTCTGCTTCTCTCTGCTATCAGGAAGAGAGGCTAAACTCACACAGGTAGAACTGGCATTTATTCAAGTCTACCAGAAGAGCCAGCAAAAACTGATTTGACCCACTGGGGAGATTTCCTGGCCTCTCTGCATGGCAAATGACCACCAAAGGTCACATGATGACTAATCTAATGTCAGCAAGTCAGTTATTTAACGACAGCACAACTCAAGAAGGTGGCTGATTGATATCCCAGAAGAGGCCCTGGAAGAGAAGCCCCTGATCTCAGGGAGTTCTGATGGGGAAAGAGAAAACCTAGGTCTCAAACAGAAGCATAGGGAACAGGATACAGAAACATACAGACTCCGTGTGAAGACAAGAAAGGCAGCAGAAGATGTGAAATGTCTCCCGCAGACTCACAGTTTGAACACTTGGTCTCCAGCAGGCTGAGCTGCTTTGGGTGGGTGGGAAACTTTCCGTAGGTGGGGCCTAGGTGGAAGAAGTGGGCATCTAGTGGGACAAGCCCTGGGGTTTGGAGCTTAGCCCTATTTCCTGCTGTCTGTGCATCCTGATCCGTTGAGACATGAATAGACAGTTGGCCGAGCAGAGGGCCCTCACCCCCATCACAGGACAGACTGGCTCCTCAAACTAAAGTCAAAATGGTCCTCCCTTCCTACAGTTGCTTCTTGTCAGGTATCTAGTGTTCACAGAGATGAGAAAATCAATGAGTAGGTACAGCACAGAAGGCAGCATGGATGCAGGCAGGCTCAGCCTGTGAAGAGCTCACATACCCTCTTCAGCAAGGCTCTCACCTGGTATGTGCAATCCCTCAGAGCTTGGCTCCTGTTCTGTGGCCTCTATCAGCCCTGTTCACTGAGACAGGGCTGTCTTAGCTGCTGGCTACAACCCTTCACCCCACTGTTGACCTCTTGTCCAAAACCCATTTCCTGATGCTGAACTCAGAAGCAGCTGAAGTTAAATGTCTCTTTGGGATTCTCTCCCTGGTTTTATTTTTTTTTTTTTTTCTCTCTATCATTTCCCCCTCAATTTGGCCCTCACCTTGGCTTCTGTAATTTCTTCTGATGCTATTTTTTCTTCCTGGCAAACTCAGGAAGAGACCCTGGCTTTTGTGACAACCTGAACTGTAACAGCTGTCAACAGCTCTTACCCTCCCTTGCTTATCAGCTGGAACATTCTGCACAGACCTCCCTGATATCAGTTGCCCCGATGATGGTTTCTTCTACCAGGGTTCCTACAACCTCTCTCAACATCACCATGTTCTCCCAGGACCTGGGGAGAAAAACCTTCATTCTTCCATTGTCCCCAGAGATGCTCTTCCCAGTCAACCCTTTCTTCTTGAGTTGAGCCCCCATTCTTGTCCTTACTATCTCCACACGTCATGGTGGGACTGTCAAAGCTCACATCTGTATGCTCACATCCTGATCCTAGCAGGACGCCTCCCAACAGCAGCCATGGAATGTGGCAGGCCCAATCATCTAACCTGGAGACTCAAAACCTGCTGGGGCTACCACCTGCCACTGGGATCAAGTCCAAAGTCTTTGCAGACAGAGTCAGAACTGAGCTCCACCCCCTTGCCCCTGCCTCATGTGAGACCCTGGCTGCCTCCACCAACCTGTGCACAACACTTCCAACTCTGCCTGGCATGCTGCTCTTCCTTTGGTCTCAGCTAGAATTACCTTCCTGAGGACAGCTCCCTTGGCCACCTACCTAGCCCACCCATAGTGCAGTACGGTGATTACCACAGAACCTATTCTCTGCTTTGGGCAGAGCTTGGTGTGTCCATACTTCCTGTCGGCTTTGGGTATTAGAGGCTGTGACAACACATATCTGGGTGAATACAGAGCAGCCTCACCGTAGCAGAGCCCATATCTTAGGGACGGAGGGATGGTAGAAGGTGGGTGGGTGAGACAAGGGAACCAACAGGGCTCTAGCCTGATTGTATGGGCAGCACCGGCAAAGACAGAGCTTCATGAGCCAGGAGTTAAAGGCTGCTGGTCTGCCTCTCAGCCTTGTCCTGGAAAGTCTGGCATACTGGTGAGGGGTAGGAATGAGTGAGTGAGTGAGTGAGTGAGTGAGTGAGTGTGTGTGTGTGTGTGTGTGTGTGTGTGTGTGTGTCTCCAAGCTCTGGGATTTCCCAGGTCCCTTTCCAGACATGCTCCTTGTGGCTGGCAACTGGTATCCCCAACAGAGATTTCCATGGTCAGTGGGTACTTGAACGAGCTGGGCTTGGCTCATATAGTGATGGGCCTTTCCCTGAGAGGTAAACAACACCACTAACTTTTCCAAATTTACTGGACCAGAGTCTCTCTTTACAGACAAGCAGCCCACAGCCACGGTGGCCCCATGTCCTCTTTGCAAACTATGTCCTGGGATGGGCTGAGTGTGCAGAGGAGACACTTGGTGACCTGCAGCAATTGTGGCCTCAAATCCCACATTGTACTCAAGTCGTCAGGCCATATCCTCAACCCCCAGAGGGTGATACACATGCAATGGTGGGCCAGTGAGGCTCTCTAGGTGGCGCTTTACCGGGAGTCACACTGTCTGTTATACCACCAAGAGATGTCACCGGTACCTCCCTTTAGGTGTGGGATGGCTCTGATTTCAGTGCACAGAGCTTCTTCCTTCCTAAGGGCAACTGCTACAGTCAGAGGCATACAGCCTCCACAGGCTCTTAACCACACTGCCTCGACACCCTGTGAACATGTTCACATCTCACTGTGGGCTACGTGGATCTGTTTCCTGGCATCTGCTCCAAAACTGGGTATTTATACTTAAAATCCCTCCCTGCTTCCTCATGTACTTCCCGTCACTCTCCAAGCATCTTAAGGCCTCCGAGGAGGCAACAGGCTGGCGAAGGGTGTGGGCTGAATCACACAGTACTGCTTGCTGGACAAACCGCTGTGGTCCTAGACTCTCTCTTCCCTGTCCTGGCCCATGACAATAACAACTGTCACTCTTGAGAATTCAAGAAGACAGCCCACCTGTGCACTGGATTCAGCGTACTTGGTGAGCGGCTTTACCATAGCCATCCCATTAGCTCGTATGGGTTTGTCTATGGTCTGATCTCATGGCCTCCCCGTCCTGCCCACCCTTAGCATGCATATGCCCTCCTCCTCTCAGGAAGGACCTGTGACCTCCAATTTGCCACATACCACAGTTGCTGTAAAGCCATAGACTGGTTCCCTTTTGAGGAATCTCTAGCTGCATGCTGGAAACAATTACAGACATCAATCTCCACTTTTTTTTTTTTTTTTTTAAATATGTCTCAGGTTTTATGCTTTAAAAAAAAGTCTGCTTTAAGGAAAGTTTTGGATAAAAAAAAACACACTTCAAATAAATGTTCTTTTCTCTCCATCTCACGTTTTGAAAGTAAAATGTAAAAAATGCAAACAAAGAGAGAGCCTTTAAAGCAGTGCCCAGAGGAGTCAGCTGAAGAGCTTGCCCTTCCTGCCCTGAGGACGGGCTCCCGCTGGGCTGTGGTCAGCCAGGCCGCCTGGACAGCCTGCTGGCCAGGGCCCTCTGTGTCTCCTGAGGTGATGCTCATGACCCACCTGCAAGTCTCTGGCCTACTCTGCTGTTCTCTTATCAGATAGTGAGCTGCTGCGGCCGGGCAGGTCCTCCCCCACAAAACAGCTCAGAGTCTCTTCCTGCTGTGAGCTGTGGACAGTTCGCCCCCCACCCCACAGATGCATAATGATCCCATCATCCCAAGTTCCTTCATCATCTTCATCCGTTCCAGCCTGAGTTGCCAGGCATTTTCTCTGCTCACCCAGGGAGGCCTCCACTTTTCCTCGGGGCCCTTCTGAGGAGCCAGCTCTGGAGGGAAGCTTACTCTGAGGTCAAGATCTCAAAGACTTAGGTCCCTTTTGCTCCTTCCCCAAGGCTGAGGACCATGTGTCATGGGTGGGGCTTATGCCTTGCCCACTGGGCGGGCCCACTAGGCTGTGACCAGGCTGTGCTCACTCAGTTCCCAGACATCTATCACCTGAGCCGGCACCCCCTTAGAACTGCACTCCCTACCCCTCCCTCCCCGCCCCCGTTCCCTTCAAGACCCTATGCAACAATATAAACCAGCCAAGTTTACTCAACATAGCTTCTGAGGCAGCAGACTTAAAACAAGGCTTTACCCAACACCCTAGATACAAGAAGGGAACTTCACTCTCAAGGGGAATTATTACCTTTTACCCGTCAGAAAGTGTGACAGATTGGGGTAACTCCAAGGGATGCAGTAATTACAGTTTCAGTACTTTACCCATTCTAATACCTGAGGCTTAAGCGGGGCGGGCACACAGCAGTCCAGTGTGTAAGAAATGGCATCTTTCACCAGTAAGGCTGTGTGAAGAACACCATGTTCATACAAAACCCAAATTCAAATGTCAAGCCCTCAGTGCCACAGCCAACACAGATCTAGGGACACGGTCAGGCCCGTGTACTTACTTTGGGCGTCACAGTCCACACAGTGGGCGTTCCCTCTCATGTTACGGATGGACTGCAGTGCCATGGCCTCGCTCTGGCTGGTTAGTCGGGACTAGGTACAAAGGAAGACAGAAAATGCAAGAGATGAGCAGCCAGGAGAAATCTGTACATCTCCTAACAATGTCAGAGAAAAACCAAATGGATTATGCACAGGTGTAGCCGTGTGCAATTTCCAAACAACGACTCCCTTTCTGATGTCTTAGGGAAGTTCATAAGGGAGAGGGACAAGTCGTATGTCAGGATTATTGGCTGAGATGGACTCTGCCCAAAATGAGACCTCCATCACTTGTGAATGAACCAGAGACTGCTTCTCGGAGAATGTCAATGGCTAATACACCTTCATGGGCATATAGCTACTTGGTATGAAGATTAAAGAGTGAGGAGAAAATAATCTGTGTATCAGTCAAGGGTCAGGCCTTAATCAGCGTGCGTAGAGCTGTCTCCTGGTTCTTCATGAGAAAACCCGCAACCACACCACACATCACAGCCAGGAGAGTCTCTCCCTCATGTGACAGTCTCTCAGTTGCTACAAAATCAAAGTCACTCATTGGAGGGAGGCAGGGGCATTCATTCTTAAGCATACTTTATGGTCCTCAGAAGAGACTTTTTTTAAAAAAGGTTCACCTATTATAGGAAAGTTAGAAATTATGGGAAAAGACAAGAGCATTTATAAAGAGGATTTGGTCACGCAGAGACCCTCTGGCTGTTTTCCTAAACATATCTATCCACGCAGGCATTGTAGGAAAGCCAGATAGGTAGGTATATATTGTGTTGGAGCTTTCCTTTCCTGCCTAGTAATATTTGTCTGCCATTTGATGTCAACAGAGCCTCCAACTTCATCATTTAAGTGCATGCACAGGAGTCTTCTTAGTGAGTGCATAGCAAGTTCCTTGGCTGTATATTCAGACTGCTCTAGGCATCCTCAACCCTGAACAGTGCTACAAAGAACGTCTTCCTCTAAGTCTCTACACATGTTCCTGACTATGTAGTAAGGATGAAATTCCAGAAGCAAAGGGGTAGAGAGGGAAAGGATATGCGTATTTTAAAAGTTTTATTTATTCAACAAGCATTTGATATTACAGTTCAAGCAAAAGTTGATCAGTTTCAGAACTTAGAATAAATTCCGTTTTGTGTGCAGTCTTCACAAATTGAGGTATCTTGTGCTAAACAGAAGGATGTGAAACAATTTATTGCTTGCTACTTAACAGTAAGTTATCATTTATTCATTGCTATTGCATTATGTACTTCTGTGTTTTTATGTCCTTTAGGAATCAGAAAACATTTAACAACTTGAATTGGCATCTGGGGGTGTCACACATACATACGGGAGGTCTAGATATCTCCCCCATTTCTTTCTTCATGAATTTGTACAGGTCTGTGACTCCCTGGTCGGTTGCTCCATCTTAAGCTGAAATACTAGGTGCTTCGCCTCTAACAGCAGCTGTCCAGGTGTGTGTCTGTTGTCCTTTAGTTGCTCAAGGGAACCTCCTCCCAGGGGAAGCCACATCTACAAGTTATGTTTGCCCATGAATACAGAGGACAGCTTTGGTGGGCTGGCATCCCATGACATCCTACTATTTGGATTCAGAGTAGCAAACAGGGAGAAGCTCTCAAGGAATTGAAATAGGAGAAGCCAACACTGCCCAGAGCTTCTAGAATCAAGGAGAAGGGGTGTGGCTTCAGTCAGAATGTGTGAGATTAATTTCTCCATAAATAACGGGTATGCGCTTGTCCGACCAGCAGCACATGTCCTCTTCCTGCTCTGAAACTAGAATTGCAAGCCTGCAGAGGGCAGGTGTCATTGTGCCCATGGGTGAGGTGGGGAGACACATCATGGCTGGATAGGGATCTGACCTGAGAACCCAGAGAGCTCAGAATAAAAGACAGTGGTTCTTCCCAGTTGGGTATAAACTGTCTTCCAAGAGAGAAGCAAATTACATAATAATAATAATGGCTGTGGACTGGCTTACCCTGGCTCAAGAAGGTAATAAAATAACATACCCTGTCTCTGAAAAACAGACTCCCTTCTTAATGACAAAGCTGGCCACACATCACGAGCAGAGCTTTCTTTAAATGCTTATAAATGAAACTGCAGGCGATGGCAATGTCTTTCTTCGGTTTCCAGTCGATCACAGTTTGAAAAATCAAAATGCTCACCAAGAATCTCAGTGGGTCAGCAAAGGGTTCTGAGTATCTAAGGGTTCAAAGACTGAAATGGAAAGAACCGGCTGGGAAAGACAGGGCCAGCATAAGGAAGGATAGCCTGGCAGTGGCCCAGAAAATGCAGCAAACACACTTTTATGTCTGGCCAAACAACTGCAAGAGAACTCTTTTTAATTACTGAATGAAACATACGCCAGACTTAAAAAAAAAAAAAAAAAAAAAAAAAAAAAAAACAGAAAATTCATCGTATCCAAACTCCTTTGCGTTTCGTTTGTATCCCCCTGACATTCGAGACATTTATGAGGGCAGAATAGGGCATCTTTTAAGTCTGTGTGTCTTTTTCTGATTCATTCTGCCTCAAACAATAACAACAAAAAAAATAAGTATGGACGCATAAGCAGGCAGAGTCCGAAAGGCTGCATCACCTAGGGAGAGAGGCGAAAGCTTCCCACGTAGCGCTGGCTGCCACAGCAAAGGGACATCCTGCCACACACAGACGGCCAAGCCAGGACACCAACACATGCATGGTGTTTGTAGATACAAAGTGTTTTTATCTTTTCAATTACTTAGTTTTTTTCTCCTCACAAAGCATACCTGGGTCTTGTCATCCACACAAGCCATCTGACGCCCCTGTCCCCCACCTGGGGCTCCACATGGGCCTTCTTTCCCATTTAATGATCGGCAGCCTTGATTTCGGGGCAGCCTGCTGAGGGCCTCACCTTATTCTTGCTGCTCTCACAGGACTGGAGGCTGGCTAGGATCTGGCTCTCGATGGCTTGGACCCATGCATCTCGCTCCTCGTATGTGGTGGCTTCAAAGTGCCATGTCTGGCCAGTGAGGGACACAATGATAAACTCAAAGTTTTCTTCTTGCTCTGGAACAGAGAGGAGGGATGAAGAGCTCACTTTCATGAGACGGCAGCGCCCGAGCCCATCCTGTCACAAGTGCCTCTGGATTCAATGGCACCGGCATGGGGCTGGCGGCACACACAGGATGGGAGCGCTGAGATCTGATCCACACACCCGCCAACACTCAAGACCGCCTTCCAAAAGCCACCAGCAGTAACTAGGTTTCAGGCAATGCTTGGGGGGTGGGGCAGGGAGAAAGGAGAGACAGCGTGGGATGTCAGGGTCTCTGTGTGGGTGCAGACCAAGCAACTTAGGAAAACAAGTTTGCAACATGCTGCCGGCCCTTGGATCTGTGGGAGGAAAATGGAGTTAGGTCTGCTAGATGTGAAGCTGGACGATGGGAGCATTGAGTGTGGGTCTGGGTGAACCCTGCACTCCTGTCAACACCAAGGTGAGTGTCCTTCCAGGGCCGAGCAAATGTCAGCAGGAGCTTTAATTCTCATGGTGCTACGACTTGGACAAAGCGACTGACTCAAGGCAACTCAGAGGGGCTTTAGGGCACTCAGGTCTGGCTGGGTGGACACAGGGAGACACCTGTTTTGAAAGGGAAGAGAGGCTTGGGTCCACAACCTGCGATACTACCTGTCCCTCTGCCTTTTAAGTTCTACCCCCGAGGCTCATTTCATCCTCTGTGGATCGGGCACAGGCAGCTTCTACTGAGTTTATCATTGGCTAAATGTTGTGCATAAGAATACCAGAGCACAGCCTGGCCACAGGAGGGTGTGTGTACTCGGTCCTTATTCTCAGTGCCTGCTCAGAGGTAGCACTGCTTAGGAAAACACAGCCAGAAGCCAAGGCTGGACCTTTCTTCACACATCTCAGGGGAGTTTCTAGCATTGGCCTGGAAGGGGCTGTGTGGTCATGTGTAATCACAGGGAAAGAGTAGCCTGCAGGCATGCTTATCAGCTAAGTCATCCATACCCCGCCTCTGCACTGACGAGGGCACAGTGCCTCTCCCCTGATCCTGTTGATGCCGACAAGCCCCACTCCCTGGGTACCACCCAGGAATGATTTGCTCAGGTCTTCAAAGTAAGACTTCTGCAACCACCACCACTGTCTCTGCCAGCGACCACTATGACACACTAGTGTGGAGTCTTTAGTATTCTGAAAGTACCAGCACTAAGCTTACACTGTAAGCAACATGTCTCTCTCTGAATTTTTTAAACCGTGAGCAGGGCTCACACTGACCACCACCTGGAAGGTGGGCAGGTGAACACACCTGTGTGCAAACCCTCTAGCTGACAGATGACAGCTGACAGACACGTCCACATCTTCCAACACCGCAAAGGCCGGCGACTCCCTGGCAGGGTTAGAGCAGCTGCATTTCAGTCATGCTCTGTAGCAGTGATACGCACGGGTGCCTAGGAGGGACCAGGCTGACCTCAGAGTCGTGGCTCTGGCAGATCAGCCCTTTTGGGTGTTCATACTGAAGCTGAGCTTGTGTCAGGGCCAGAGTGTGGCCTGAGCTCAACAGGACATGCAGGCAGCCCAAGGAAGTTGTTAGGTTGCTTAACACTGGGCCTGTGGGTTTCCGGAGTTCTGTCATGATCTCTTTGGTTCTTGTATTTTGGAGCCTGAGTAATAAGAGTTCAAAAAGCAGGTGCTTGTTGTGGGTTATTAGTTTAAGATGTGTTGGATTTGTTTGTGTTGTGGAACATTTGTTTAATGATACAAAGATGTGCTGCATTCTTTTATGTTGCATTTGTTTAACTCTGTGAAACTGTGTTACTTTGCCTGTCTAAAACACTTGACTGGTCTAATAAAGAGATGAACAGCCAATAGCAAGGCAGGAGAAAGGACAGGTGGTGCTGCCAGGCAGGGAGAATAGATAGGAGGAGAAACCTAGGGAAAAGAAGAGGGACAAGGAGGGAGAAAAGGAGGAGAGGAGGACACCAGGGGCCATCCATCCATCCATCCATCCATCCATCCATCCATCCATCCATCCACCTAGCCAGCCAGCCATCCAGCCACCCTGCCACCCACCCACCCATCCACCCTGCCACCCAGCCATCCACCTAGCCATCCATCCATCCATCCATCCATCCATCCATCCATCCATCCATCCACCTAGCCAGCCAGCCATCCAGCCACCCTGCCACCCACCCACCCATCCATCCATCCACCCTGCCACCCAGCCATCCACCTAGCCATCCATCCATCCACCCTGCCACCCAGCCATCCACCTAGCCATCCATCCATCCATCCATCCATCCATCCATCCATCCATCCATCCATCTATCCATCCATCCATCCATCCACCTAGCCAGCCAGCCATCCAGCCACCCTGCCACCCACCCACCCATCCACCCTGCCACCCAGCCATCCACCTAGCCATCCACCTAGCCATCCATCCATCCATCCATCCATCCATCCATCCATCCATCCACCTAGCCAGCCAGCCATCCAGCCACCCTGCCACCCACCCACCCATCCATCCATCCACCCTGCCACCCAGCCATCCACCTAGCCATCCATCCATCCATCCATCCACCCTGCTGCCCATCCATCCATCCATCCATCCATCCATCCATCCATCCATCCATCCATCCACCCACCCACCCACCCAGCCAGCCAGCCAGCCAGCCATCCACCCAGCCAAGGAAGAGATTTGGAAGAAAGAAAGGTGAAAAGCCCAGAGACAAAACATAGCTGAAGAGAAATGGGATAATTTAAGTTAGACAAGCTGGCTAGAAAAAAGCCAAGTTAAGGCCAGGCATTCATAAATAAGTCTCTGTGTATTTACTTGGGAGCTTGGTGGCAGATCCCCAAAGAAGGAAAAGGAAAAACAAAACCCCCAAACCAGCTACAGGTGCTGTCCAGGAATGGTACTTAAATGAGGCCCATGTTTGTGTAGAAGCAGAACAAGTCCACCTACTGTGTGGAGGGCGGCTGGGGAGGAAGCCCTAAGGCCTTCGGACATGGGCACTAGTTGTGTTTTCCATTAAAAAACAAACAAACAAACAAACAAAAAACCCTACAAACTTCAGACAGATTTCTTCACAGCGGGCCTGCACCCACACCCTGTAATTACCAGGAGAGCCGCAGCATCTGTGGGTTTAAAAAGACTTGTTCTCTTGATTCACGGGGCTTCTGTGTCATGACGTTATTCATTACAACTTTTATCAGACAGAGGTGCTGATAAAAGACAGCACCCAATTCAGTACCTAAAATCCCCAGGGAAGGGAGACGTAGGGCAGGGACAAGGTATACAATTCATGGGTGGAACTCAGGGGCACTCAGTCACTTTCTCGGTGGATGTGAATACTGTTTGCTGGGACATTTGTGCATGGCTGGACATCATCTTACATCTGTGAAGCCCAAGGACGGTAAGAACTGCTATTGCCCTGACAGGGCCAGGGCCTCCCCGCTGATCCTATGGATGCCACCATGTCCAGTGAAGAAATGACAGCCATGAGCCTTCCAGTTAGACCTCTTTACACTGCTTGCTCTCCCTTACAGGATTTCTGCCCACATTTTTAGCCCGAACCATGAGCTGCCCTGTGAACTGGAAGTCAAGAAACTAAACTGGCTTGACTGAGGTGCAGGCTTGGTCCCAGGGCTCTCAGTTACTGCCTTCATGCCTTGGGTGTCTGGGGAGGCAGAAGGTGGTCTTGAAGGATCCCACTTAGCAGTGACATGTAGTGACATGTATACGCACACGTGGTAACAGAACACAAAATGATAACAATGGCGGGGTACCCAGGTCAAGTGCTGCAAGGACACAGCACCAAGCTTTCTGCCTCGTTCTGATCCCAGCTTGGGTAGCTGCAATGTGCTACCCAAGCTAAGGCGGCGCAGTCTGGCTCTGCCTTGCCCTGGGAGCCCGTGCCTCTCTCCGCATAGGCAACCAAAGGGACAGAATTCCCAGGAGCACCGGGGTTCCGACACGTCCAGTAGAGCTCTTTCTCCCTCCTTTTTGTCCCTGGTGTTTTGCCCGTTGCACCTCTCTGCTTTCCTTACGGCTGCCTCTCATATCTCCTTGGGGATTGTCAGGGTTCCCTCACTCCACTCAAAGCTCTAAGAGTCTCCCTATGCTGTGTTGACCTCTGTGTAGGATGCACACCCTGCAGACAGACACCTTTCTACTCCACTCCATACAGTGTGCTACCACACACAACCTGCAAAGTAGCCACATTTGTGCTCAGTCCTCCTCTGCTCTCCCTCATGATCATGGCTGATGCCTTTCTTCCCTCTGATGCTTCACTTCCAAGCCCGTGAGTGAGCGTCCAGCCAGGCTGTGACTCTTCTCAGTCTGCTTTCCCCTCAACCCCATCTCTCTGGAACAGCCAGCACTGTCCAACACATGTACCAGCCGGCTTCTGGATGCCCTGCCATGCTGAATGCACTTGGGTGCGCGACTGGGCGAGTGAAACGGAGCCGAGGTAAGTTACACTGGGTAACGACTCGCTGGAGACTCCCGGGGAGCATGCCTCTAGTTCTTAAAGCCGAAAGCCCCTTTCACCGGCTTCATGTTTTTATCGGGGTCTAGAGTGAGGTCTGCTCATTGCATTTAGCAAAAGGAGTTTGGGAGAGGACAGCAAAGGCCAGAGTTAATGTACTGAGTGAGGCCATAAAGCAATCTGAAAACTCAAGAGCAAAAATGTTCTGAAACCCAGAACTTTCTGGGTCTTGATGTGACACTCACATGTTTAATTCTAGAAAGAAACAGATGCTAGCCCGCAAAACCTAAGCATGCTGCATACCCAAGGGGTGTGGTCTTGCCCTCTGGTGGAGGTCACTGAGTGCCAGCAACCTGTCACCAGTGATCAAAGTGCTAAGAAGCCCAATACCGTCCAGGGCCCAAGCCCAGATGCCCCTCCAGTCAGCTGCCCCTCCATGCAGCTGGGATGTTTTACTGTCTTTATGGCCTTTCCCCTTTAAAAGGGTTTCTGTCACTTATAACAAATTCTGAGAGAGTCAGTGAACGGGTACTGGCAGGGCCTGCCAGATGACAGTCAATCTTACT